AGTCTGGCAAAAGAATTGACAATAAATTAGAGAATTTTAAGCTCTAATATTGAGTCTGTATGTATAGAGAGACATTTTTCTTTCTTTCATAACAACACTTTTAAATAAAGCACAGAACTGATATAATGGATATTATCATTGCCTTTTTCTTTCACAAGCTTTTTTGTAAAAGCCACAAATATAGTTCTGAAATAATGTGAAATCATGTCTTAACCAACCAAAATGTGCTATATACTTCCAGCTGCTGATGGTGACAGAATAGCTTGTATCAGACTAGCCTTTACCAAGAGTAATTATCCATTCTTGACAAACTATAAAAGGATAATAGAAACTGTTTTGGCCACTAGAGAGCAACTAAAAGCAGGGTGAAACTAAAGAGGATTTAGCCTTTGAAAGAAGGAAGCCACATGGGTAGGAACCCCACTTAAATGGCTTGGACCACTGAGGGCCCTCCCTATCCCACATGACAAATGGCTGGTAGGGCGCAGAGAGAAAGCAATGGTTTTACTGCCATAGCAATCATAGGACTGAATTCAGTGTTGTCAAAACAATTAGGAATTCATCTATGGATTTCAAAAAGGAGAAAGTCACAGAGTGGGGGAGCCCCCAAATGTTTATTACAAATGAATATAGCAGGTCCTCAAATAATGTTGTTTCATTGCACATCATTTTGTTGTCAGTAGTGTGAAAAAAAAAGACTCAATTCCTGGCCTGGGCCACTATCCATGTGGAATTTGCACATTCTCCCCATGTCTGCATGGGTCTCTAGGGTACTCCGGTTTCCTCCCATATCCCAGAAATGTGCACGTTAGGTGTACTGGTGTGGCTACATGTCCCAGTCTGAGTGAGTGTGTGTGTGTGTGTGTGAATTCACCCTGTGATGGAGGGGTTTCCTGTCCAGGGCCGGTCCTCAGCTTGGGCCTCAACTGCTGGCAGAGTTTCTAGCCACCTGCCACCTTGAACTGGAATATGTTGGTTAGAAAGATCTATCATACTTGTTTTTATTATTTTTCTTAAATATATATATATATATAGCTTGCATTTATTTCAGTGTTTAATATTAGAAGTGTTTATGTGTTTATTTAAAAGTTTGGTGATGTTTTCTGATCAGAAATATGCTGTAGAAACTTAACTTTAGTTGATATCAATTTCTCCATGGTAAAATTGGTTTTACTGTACATCTTTTCACTTAATAGCCACAGTCTCCAGCAACTTATCCATGATGTTAAGTGAGGATGTACTGTACCTCTTCGGCCCTCAGCCGAGCCTTGGACTGTTGTAGTACATGAAAAGACTCCAAGGAGCCCAGGAAGAAAAGAAAAGCTAGGAGGCTCAAACATGGCCGCACAGGCTCTCACTGTAGGGATACAATGCGTAGGATCCTATTCCTCCCAAGTTAGAGGGAGTTGGCAAGTGTGTTGGGTTTGTCCACTGAAAACCCGGGAGATCCATGTTTTAGGAGTAAAGACCACATCATAGGACTAAGGTAAAAACTAAAATAGACCCATATTAACAAAGCCTAAAACTAAGCTTCCATATTACCTGGCAGTAATTTAACTGTCTGCTAGAACAAACCTCAATACTGTTTGAAGGAAGATAATTGCATCTAAAGCCTTTACAACATGTTCTCAATGCTCACATGTCATCTGTATTTACTAGACTTGCAAAGAAACAAGACAGTGTGACTCAGAGTCATGTGAAAAATCAATCAATATAAATAGATTCATAGCTGACCTAGATATTGTAATTAGCAGGCAGTGACTTTGAAATCACTATGTGAAATCTATTCAGGCATTTACATGAAAAGATGGACATCGAGGGTGAGGAGATGGGAAATGATGGGAAATTTCAGGAGTAATATGAACTCTATGAGAAAAGAACCAAATGAAAATTTCAAGTATTGAAAAAAATAAAGTATCTGAAAATTTAAAAAATTGGATAGAACTCATAGCAGATTTAACACAATTCAGTAATAAAAAAACAATGAAAGGTAGCAAAAGACATGGACAGACACTTCCAAAAAGAATATATACAAATGACCAGTATGCCTGGGGCAAGATGCTTAACACCATTAATCATAAGGAAAATGCAAATAGAAATCATGAGACACCCCTTTAAATTTATCTACTTTAATTGCTAAAATTAAAAGGCTGACAACATCAAAGGATTGCCAAAATTTGAATTCTTATACATTGTTGGGGGTATATGTAAATTGCTATATTTACTTGGGAAAACTGTATGTTAGTTTTTTATAAAGTAAACCATATACTGACTCAGCAATTTTACCCATGGATATTTGCTTGATGGACATAAAAAAATATAGCCACAAAATGACTTGAACAAATGTGAAGATTTATTTATAATAGTCAAAATTATAAATATTCCAATGTCTACTCACAGATGAATGGATAACAAAATTATGATATATTCAACAATGGAATATTACTCAGGGATATAAAGAAATCAAGTACTAATACATGCAACAACACAGATGAATCTAAAAAAATGCTGAGTGAAAGTGAGCTCCTCCTTCCCCTTCTTAACACAAAATTTGAAGTTATATAACAAGCAAACTTATCCCCGGTGATTGGAATAAGAATACAGGGTCCCTCTGGGTGCTAGGAAGGGAAATTGGATGGAAAGGGCACGAGAGAGCTTTCTGGGTCAATGGAAACATTTTGTGTCTTTACTGATATCATGGTTACTTGACCACATACTTTGTTAAAAGTCATCGAAACTGCAAAATCTGTGAATATGATTGTATGTACATTATAATTCATGAATAGAACTGGTGGGAATTAAAAACTAATGTAATATATTGGTTCAATGTGTCATATATGGGAATTGAGGTAAAACTGCCTGGATTCAATTCCCGAAGGCAGCAAATTACAATGGAAGAGAGCGCGGTTGTTCCATCAGACAAACGTGAAGTTTGGAATCACATTGCCAATATTTTGTGCATATAGGCAACTTACTAACCTCTTCAAAGCTCCTATAAAATGGAGATAATAAAGTCAGCATTTACCTTATAAGAAAGTCATCATTATATAGTACCTGGCACAGAGATGGGCTCAACACATTAAAGCTATAGTTATTATTATTAAATATCTCTGCAGCTAGACTTTTGGCAGTAGGGAATGCTGGTATAACTGTGAAGATTTTGAGAATTACATATCTACAAACTACATTAGGCTGCAATCTAAATAAGGTAAACAATATTTGATAGCATATGATTAAGTATTCTAGGGAATCTTATTCCATTTCAAACTGAGTAACTCATTATCTCTACCATGAAAATATGTTCACTTTAAAATATTTAAAGTTCTTGTAAAAATAATTCAATATAGAGAAATTAAGGCCTATTTTTCCCCTAATAGTCTCACCCTCTGATTTCTATCCCATAATCACTTTTTGCATTTTGGTATGTATCTTTCTAATACCTCTCTATGTGTATATGTATAAATGTATATACAAAGAGAGGGGCAAAACCCACATTTTTTTATTAAAAAATTATGTATCTATTCTTACATGTTTAAACTTCAGTCACCCTCAAAGTAGTCTCTGTTTTAATAGGTTTTGGGGGGACATTTTTTCACTGCTCAGAACAACTTTTGAATTTGTTGATTTTGATGCCTTGTAGTGCTTCTGCCATTTTCTGTTTCACCTCTTCCATATTGGCAAAACTTTTCCCTTTGGGGACTTCTTTTATCCAAAGATACAAAGAAAAGTTGCTTGGGGTGTGAATGGGTGAATAGGAAGAGTGGGGCACGAGGATCATGCTGTTTTGGGTCAAAAACTGCTGAACATTCAGAATGGTGTAGGCAGGTGGGCATGTAAATCACCCATCATGAAATGGGCAAGCACGTTGAAGGAGTCTTCAAAAAAAGCTCACCGAAGCTGAACGCATCCTCTCACAACCCAGCTGGTGCACTGATACAGATGGGTTCCTAGAACACTTACCTAGTGAGGGGAAGCCTGTACTGCAAGGGGCCTGCCCTCCAGAAGATAATTCTGTTTTTTTAGGACCTCCCTGATATATACGTATAAGTGTGTGCGTAACTTTGTAAACAAAGTTGGGACTTAACTATATATACTCTTTTAAATGGCATTTCACTTAGAAATCATGTCATGATTTATGTGCATATGGCCGAGTAGCCTTCACCTGTGCATTTACCCCCAATCCAGTCATATAAAATTTTCATTTCTAATGGCATTTGGTTTCTGTTTTGCAAAGACGATTCTCACTGTGAAGGAGACCTGGATGGGAGGCCAGAGTGCTGATGGGACCTGAGATGGGTGAAGGGCAGGAAGCCTGCTCATTTAGCAGAGCTTGAGCAGTGGTGGCCACGGTTATGGTTCAGTCCCTGTGAAGTGAGTGAGGGTGTTTTTAGGGGTGTTTATGACACCTAAGCCAGCCTTGCCCGTCACCCAGGGCCCTTAGCTACCCTGCAGAAATAATTGTCTTTGTGCCACACCTCTGGGAGGAGAAGGAGGAACTCAGAGATCTGGTTCTTACTTTGATCGGCTTTCATTCTACTGTCTCCGTTTGGAGGTGCGTACAAATGTTCTAGAGTTCCTTTCTCACCCACTTCTGGGGTGTTTTGGCCTGCAGCCTGTGGTGTTCTGGAGGCACACTTACCAGCTTGGAGATAGACTTGTTAGCATTTCTTCCCAACCTTGTATTCAGTGACATGAAGTTGATAGTTTAAAAGAACATGATGGGAATAGTTACACAATTAAAATAGAAAAATGCTACAAATAAGGGGCTCCCCCACCCCAAAAGGACCTGATTTTTTTGTATTTTCCACACACACACATGTGAGTGGGCAGAGGAGGAGAGAACATAGCATTTGAGAGATTGGACACCATGGGCTTTCTTCCATGGGCTTGTGTGATTTCCAGTAGGAACAAACCGAGTTCCTTTTCTCTTCCTATCTCAAATTTTGTATTTATTTCCAAAAAGCCAAAAAAATGAAGTAACTTTTTCCTCTCTCCCCCAGTGGATGGCTGTATTCACAGAGCAGCTGGCCCTTGTTTGCTGGCTGAGTGTCGTAACCTGAATGGCTGTGAAACTGGACAGGCGAAAATCACATGTGGCTATGACCTGCCTGCAAAATGTAAGTGCAACCCTTCTGACCAGTTTCAGTATCTGTCTTACCTTGTTTTATGTCTCGGGTGTGTAACTAGTAAGAAGATGGTAGTGGTGTTACTTAATTAAATGTGCTTATATTAAGATTTTGTACCTGGTAATAACATGTGTTTTCTAAATATCTATATGTGTGCCATTTAAGTGAAGGTGCTTTTTGTTCAGTTCTTCAACAGAGTGTCTCTGAGACAGAAAAATAAAAATATGAGCAAAAACCAGAATATTTAAGTGCCATGGAGTGACAGCTTCTGGAAATGATGCCAATTTCTTATTCCTTGTTCAGGTTTCTTGATTGTGGATGTGTTTAGAGCAAAGGAGATCAAAGTGATGTATTGTGTTTTCAGCTGCCATGTAAAGGCTGATTGGCAATTACAGCCAAGGCATCTGTCACACTTTGCTTTTGGGAAAAGCCAATGGAATGTGGTTGTCAGTGTGAGAACGCATTTGCTCTTTGAATATGGAATGGTCAAAATTTCCATTATATTTGAATAGAGAGAAGTATTGCATTTGATTGCCTTCGCTGTTTAGTCATTTAGCCAACTGGTAGGGTAGTCTGGAATAAGAACACAAAGAAGGAAACTGGTTACAGGCATACATTATTATTTTTTTAAATCACATAATCTTCACAGCCGGGGGCTAGAGGTAACTGTGCAGGGCTTCATCACACAGTTGAGGTGTGCATTGATCTGGCGATTGAGACACCAATTAATTTTTTATTCCATGTACCTGCTTCTTATGATACTCTCTGCATCTGGGAATATATTTTATGTAAAAATGAAGCTGGCTTTAGTTTTTGTTTTAGCAATGGTGAAGGCATGACTGAAAAATTATAACTCTGTGTAGGATACTCTTGGGGTCTGTATCCATAGGTTGTGTAAGAATGAACTTCCCATGGATATGTGTGAATAGAGAGAGAATGTCTTGTATTTTAAAGATTACTTTAAAATATGTTTAAACGTGAGGATTTTGAGTAAATAGTAACATATTAAAATGGTATTTTTCTTTATAAATGTTATACTGCATTCCAAAATTCTACAGTTACTAGTGAAAATATATCAAGTATATACTGTTTAATTTTCCCATTAATGACTTCTCACTTGTCTGTCTTTGTTAGTGTTTTTACCTGCGTAGAAGAGCCAAGTCATGTGCCAAATGTCCCCTCACTCCTACTTGGAATATGTGTTTATGTTAAATAAGGTTCTTTGTGTGCAGTGGTGTTTGGAGAAGTTCTCCCTGTGACTGAGAGAGCCTGAGCAGTGAAGGTCACTTCATTTCTAAGATTATGTGGCCCAATGTTTATAAATATTGGTCATCTTCCTTATTAACACCACACTACCTTTGTGAAAGAGCTAATCAATACCACTCTGGGAGTCAGCCAATTATCAATTACTTTCAGACTTGTATCTGTCCTTAAACCAGGGAATAAGACCTGGTTTTCTATTGATTCACTACTACTTTATATATTAAAACCATATCAAAAATTCTTCAGCTCTGAGATTTCTGAAGACAGACAACCTCAGAATCACTAAATATTTCCAAATAAAATGGTGGCTGTAGTGTATGGATTGACACTATGATAATTTTGTTTGATGTGCTTGTTCTTATTTGACATCTCTCTAAATAAGTAACTCATTCAGCTTAGTTCAAAGTTATTGAAGAATTATACAATACCAGACACCGAGGTACAAAGATCAATAATACCAATAGATGTGCTTGAGGAATTTCATGATTGAGTCATATCTTTGAGCTAATGCATGACTTTCCCGGGCATCCCAGAGTAAGTGAGTCTTTACAAGACAAGACATCTAGACAGGAAAAGTCAACAGGACTTGGTACAGAATCCAAATGAGCCAAGATACCGAGAGTCTGACATACAGTCAAGTCACTGTACACAGCCTATAGGGCAAGTCTTGTAAAAAAATCATCCACCATGATAGAAATGACCAGACTGGAATGGTAGTGCCACTTCTAAAGTCACACCCAGGTACTCTTGGTGAGTATGTCCTGGTATTTTTCTATATTTATAAAGATTTAATGATTTATATTAAACATAAAGAAAAGCAAGAAAGCAATACAAAATTGAGTAATAATAGTCAGTCAACATTTACATGTTGTTTTATATTATTTCACTGTGCTTTCACAAGCCCTTCTATTTTAAATTATTTTTGTATACACATTGTGCATGTTCATGTTCCCTTTTCTTATCCCTGAGAGATGTTTTGCTTTCTTATCAATTTAGTTCATCCATTTTAGAGTCATTAACAATCCACAGATGTGGTTTTGTAGAGAGAGAATGAAAAGGGAGCTCATTACATTCTGTTTGGGTCATTTCCCCCCCATATTTAATAACTCCATGACAGTTTGACAGCAGAGACTAGCTCCTCTCTGTCCTCTGTGACAGTGGGTTTTTCATTATGGGAGCACTAGAGCCAGTCATCCAGCCACCAGTGAGACTATCTCTGTGCGTCGGCAGTCTGTCTGGAAAGTGCTGTTGTGTGGGTCACACACATACTTGGTAATTTTGGATTGGCCTCTGCTTCTTCATTGCTTTCTAAATTAGTCTATTCATAAATGCTCATATTTGAATTAAATATACTTTTAGTCTGTATTCTGGACTCATCCTGATTGGTGGGATGATAAGCCTCAGATGTTTAGTTTATGGCTTGGATGTTTTGGATAATTTATTTTGATGTAAATTATCCAATATTTCTTTTCAAAAGTAATCTGAAGAGTGAAATAATATTGGCCAATATTTCTTTGAAGGCTATTATAAGAAAATGACTTAGGAACTGTTTATATAATTGACCTTTTGGGACTGTCTTTTGTAGATTATTAGATTTGGGGGGTTTTCAGAATAAAATTTAGATTTCCATAGATTTTTGGCAGTTTGTCAAATTGTGGATATTTCTTTTTATGCTCTGATCATTCTTACCAGAGGGTCAGCTTCATAGGCATGAGGTTTGTCCATCTCAGTCACACAGTCCTAGTGTCAGTATCTAGCAGACTGTCTCCTAAGTATGTGCTGAATTAATGTAAATGAATGAGTGATCAAATGAATGGTTTTAGATCTTTTTACCTGAAAAATAGATTTTTTTATTGAAGCTTCCACTTCTAAATCTTTCCTTCCTGCAATTCACTCTATCCAGTGCTGGTAGATAAATATTCCCAATCCAGAGTCCTTATAATTGTCTACAAGACTCTAGATGATGGGATCCTCCTTACCTCTCTGACATCATCTCCTACCCTTCTCTCCCTCACTCAGAAAGCCTGCTTTCCTGATCTTTACCACCTTTGGCATTCCCTCTGCCTGGAGTTCTATTCTTCTGATACCTACAAGGCTTGCTCCCTCACCTACTTCAAACCCTTGATCAAACAAATCAACTTGTTTATAATTGCTTTCTCTAATTTAAAATTTTATAATGGTTATTTTTATTGTATTTTTCTATGACCATTTATCCCCCTTATACCTTTTCCACCTCCACTCTCCCCCACATTCACCACACTGCGGTCTGTGTCCATGAGTCCTTTTTCTACTTTGCTCATCCCTCCACCTCCCCAGAACTTCCCCCTCCCCACCACAACTCTCCACCCCAAGCAGTAAGCCTGCTGTCTGTCTACGAGTCTGTCTCTATTTTGCCTGTTAGTTTAGTTTGTTCATTAGGCTCCACATATGAGTGAAATCATATGGTGTTTGTCTTTCCTTCTCTGTCTTACTTATTTTACTTAGGTCTATTCATGCTTTTGCAAAGGGGAAAATTTTCGTTTTTACAGCCAAGTCATATTCCACTGTGTAAATGTACCATACTTGTTCCATCCATTCATCTACTGATGGGTACTTGGTCTGCTTCCAAATCTTGGCTATTGTAAATAATGCTACACTGAACACAGGGTCCTTATATATATTTTTAATACATTTTATTGATTATATTATTACAGTTGTCCCATTTTCCCCTTTTCACTCTTCTCCAACCTGCCCCCCACCCACATTCCCCACTTTAGTTCATGTTCATGTGTCACACTTATAAGTTCTTTAGCTTCTACATTTTCCATGCTATTGTTACTCTCCCCTGTCTATTTTCTACCTACCATCAATGCTACTTATTCTCTGTACCTTTTTCCCCCTCTCTCCTTCTCTGACGGCCTTGTTGCTAACCCTCCATATGAGCTCCATTTCTGTGGCTCTGTTCCTGTAGTAGTTGTTTGCTTAGTTTGTTTTTGTTTTTGTTTTAGGTGTGGTTGTTAATAATTGTGGGTTTGCTGTCATTTTACTGTACATGTTTTTTCTCTTTTTTTTCCTTAGATAAATTCCTTTAACATTTCATATAATAAGGGCTTGGTGATGATGAACTCCTTTAACTTGTCCTTATCTGGGAAGCCAGATAAGGCTTGACCTTTATCCGCCCTTCCATTTTAAATGAAAGCTTTGCTGGATAGACCAATCCTGGATGTAGGTCCTTGCATTTCATGACATGGAATACTTCTTTCCAGGCCCTTCTTGCCTGTAAGGTCTCTTTTGAGAAATCAGCTGACAGTCTTATGGGAACTCCTTTGTAGATAACTCTCTCCTTTTCTCTTGCTGCTTTTAAGATTCTCTCCTTATCTTTCATCTTGGGTAATGTAATTATGATGTGCCTTGGTGTGTTCCTCCTAGGGTCCAACTTCTTTGGAACTCTTTGAGCTTCCTAGACTTTCTGGAAGTCTATTTTCTTTGCCAGATTGGGGAAGTTCTCCTTTATTATTTGTTAAAATAACTTTTCCACTTGTTGCCCTTCCTCTTCTCTTTCTGGTACCCCTATAATTAAGATGTTGGAATGTTTAAAGATGTCCTGGAGGTTCCTAAGCCTCTCCTCATTTTTTTGAATTCTTGTTTCTTCATTCTTTTCTGTTTGGTTTTTTCTTTCTTTCTTCCAGTCTACTCCATTGATTTGAGTCCCAGTTTACTTCCCATTACTATTGGTTACCTGTACATTT